ATATGTAACATGGGCATTTTCGGTGCCCCATTGGATATATCCCGAGCTTTCAGCTATAAACATCCATTCGACTCGTAGATATTTATGGCACTTTATGGCACTTGAGAGTGCTACCTGCGTCGATTTCCACGGGTTGTCCCTTAGGGTCTGCGATAGTCAAAAAACGTCTTTTAAGTAGGCCCACCCAAGACTGTTAGGGAATATTTTAAACCCCATACCCACCAGATATATTTAAATTAACCAAGAGTGGCTAGCCGTTTAAGCACTATTATAAAGGGCTGAAACCCTAATCTTATCTTTTCCAAATCCGGCCGCACTATGATGGCAGTGTCTGGAAACAAGGGGTTATATAAAGGGATGTAGATCCCCTTCTACCTCCCTTACGACCACGCTCATAGGAAAAAAAAAACCCAAACGCCGGCAACATAATGGCAGCCCGGCAACCCAACCTCATGTATGGTCTTCAGAATCCGCAGGGGGTGGCGAACGGAGTCAACCAAATTCCCAATAGTACTATGATCCAGCAAGGGAATAGAATTATTGAGTTGTTACAGGGAATACGAAATGATAATCAGAAATTCCGAGCCGATTTCCAACGCCTCCGAGATGACATTCAACAGATAGAGGTTCGTCTTGGAGTTATCGAAAGCCGAGTTCAAACCGTCCACGAGCAAGACATGTAAGATGTTTTTCTTGGCAATCACTGGAAGGTTATAGGCTCTGACTACTTCACAGGTTTCCTGTACATTCACCCAATTCCTCACAACCTGAGAGAAATACGACCAGATACCCACCCAGTCATGATGGAGTTCCTCACCCGAAGAACAGGTTCGAGCTCCGCAAATACTCTAGTAACGTGCTCCATTCCAGAGGTGCTTCATTTTTTCTTCCTGAAATGTGCTAACGTATAATGCATCTAGAGGGCAGTTGTATAGAATTGATTAAGCATCTCGGCTTACAACCTGTGCCTCTTGAGTTCCATGAGGAGGTCTTTAGAAAACGAATTGCCGATCATCTCGGAATGGAGTATGATATTGTTTGACGGGAAGTATTGTTTTTATTGGTTGTCGGTTGTACTATCCGGAAATCTAATGTTATAATTTTGGTGATTGCTTTATTCGGACTAGTACAGTACAATATATTGATATTAATAAAAGCAGTTTCTACTGGTTTGATGACCTACAATTATGGTGTGGCAAAAACGTACAGTACAGTACAGTCGCACCTAGCTGAATGAACCTTTCGAGTGCTGAATCATGCTATGCTCCTGGCAACAAAGCCTTTTAACTACCATCGCCCGGGAAATTTCCCATCTGAAAAGTGAAACCATTAACCATTGCACAGATTGGCCTCACCTTTCATTCATGACAAAACTATGTCTCCTTATCACCACGTGAGTCTCTCGCTTTCCGCAACCTTCAATCAAGAATCCCAAGAAAAACTTGGCCAATCACCCAATTCATCCTAAAAAATTGCAGGCAAAGTTCAAGTAATTCTTGTTTTCTTTTTCCAATTTCCTTGTGTTGTTAGAGGGATAGGTGAAAATGTGAGTATCTTGTTTCTTGTTAGGGTGTGGAATCTTGTTCCCGGTCCCTTTTTTGCCTAGGGCGGCACTCTAAAGGTACCATACCCCCCGCCCCCCATGATATCATATTCAAAAGGTTTTCTCAAAACAAAGCTGTTTGTCTAGAGGTGTAAACATAAACTTTTGGTTTCTCTCCTTTCCCTCACATAGCCGTGCAAAGGTTCTGCTAAGATTATGTGACATGAGAGCATTTTCAAATCTCGCAGCAGGTTTACGCAGTTCCAGACCGCTCAGCGTCATATTAGTCTTATCGGATTTTAATTTCGAGCCCATAATATGACACTGCTAATTCCTCGAAAGTTATTTGGGTTTTAATAGACAACTTAGGTTTCGTGAAACCAGTTTTTAAATATATTTTTTCTTGGTTGCGGAACCTCTCTTTTTTTGTTGCAATCGAGCTCAGTAGATTTCCTCTCTTACACTTTTCGGAGCTAAGTTCCTCCTAATCTTTGCAAACAATAGTTACAGTGTTTACGTTCTTGAATTGAATTGAAATAACTTTCCACAGGCTCCCCAAGCCGTCCCCCCAGCACCCAAATAACTCTCGGGGGGCACGCTCAGGGTTTTTTGGGGGCAGTTTGATGGATCAAACCTTCCATAAAGTGACAATCTGTGATGGAGAGGGATTTGGCATGTATCCCGTTAGGGAACCTTAATCCACAACTTCCCACCAAACCACGTGAGGCGGGCGGTATGGGAGATATTGCACCGATGTGATTATGGTACGTCTCAGATCCAATATCATTCTTCCCACCACCGGTAGGCCTGTCCCGGATATGAAGGGTAAGTCTGTCGAACTTGCTCCGGCCCACTCGAGGGCCTTCTCGACCACTGAGAAGGGTGTCTGCTCAGCCGCCGGGCCAAGATTTCCACGCACCTTTCCCCTCCACCAGGGATTAGGGTAAATGATGTTCGGTTGTGCAATTCTCCTTACAAACGCTCACCCCCCTCGAGCCAGGTGGGCCAGGGTTCAACAGGCTTTTGTGTGCACCTTAGGTGCGGAGGATTCGGTATTATGGGCAGAGGACTGGTGTTGCGAAGCGAGAGGTACCGTTACTGTATCCGCACCCCCTTGTCCCAGATTTCGTTCTCCCGGATTCTTCGTTATCCAGGGCGGTATTTCAAGATTTGTCAAAGATTCACGTAAATTTGCCTCACTATCCGGATTGCGGGTGTCTTCGGATTGGATGGAAAAATAAAAGATTTCTAGCCCGGCTCGCATGGAAAATATATTCGGTGCCCTAGATTTTCACCCTACCCTAGCACAAAACCTAACATCACAGCCATTAAAAGTTATCATACTATAACATCATGATAGTTGATATCATGAGTATGATAGTCCATCAGGTCTACGGTAATATTGCTCAAGCTGCTGAGACTCGAAATGTCAACACCAAATACCTCTGTCGTGGAGTGCAGAGTTTGAGTTTTTTTTAGAGGCGTTGTTAGAATTTCTCTAATTTGTTACATTTTTGGATCCCATACAAGAGCCTTACAAGTTGAATGTGAGAAAGACTCAGTAACAGTAACAGAAAATAGTCTATTGAGTACTAATTTATGGCCATTTTAGGGGTTCTCAGCTCATCCCCTCCTTAGGCTTTGTGTGGGATAGTTTCTAGCTATTGCTACTCAATTCTCACTCTATTTTACTTTTTTTTTTCTTTTCTCAAAGAATATTTTGTCCGCCCCATCACTCTCCCAGATGTTCTGTTGTCACGAATAGCCAACTCAGGATTTCAGCCGTCCGGGGCAACGGGAAGGACCATAGTTGGAGTTCCAAAGTGCAGGATGCTACTGCCCTGAGTACTCCTCCACACCGCCGTTACACCTTTCGTGCCTTACAGAGCCTGACGCTATACTTACTGACTCCGGGCCACCAAACCATCCTACAAATCACCCACAGAGCCGGTGCTAACACCACGGTTTATTTCTCCCAGTCCGCGGCTCACGAGCTACGAATTTACTATTCGGGCCGCTCTGGGCCACCAAGGCGAGGCTGCCCACCAGAAACTGAGGACACCGGACGCACAACGGAACATTTGGGAGTGCTGTAGATACTGTACCAAAGTCGAAAGACTTTCTCTGAGACTGCAACTGGAGGGTGAATAAGTGGGAGTGGCATATGTGGTAATAGAGATAGCATATATCCGGGAACAAGCAACGAGATTAGGCAGGAAATCCCGGTATCAAGTAGGGGCCCATCCTCCCCTCTCCTTCTTTAATAGTGGCCCAACCTGACCGCCCCCGCCTCGCCCCCATTTACCACTGCACAGCACTCAGGTCGCCAAACTAGACACATTCCCCTTGGATATACGATAATGGCAACTCCGTAGTCGCCAAACTCAAAAAGGGTTCATGTATCATCACTCGAACAATCCCGCCGATTGATACAGCTTCCACCAAACTCGTACAGATACAGTACCCCAAGCCACCCTCGCAGAAACCATCGACTATCATAAAAGATATCATACCTCTCGGAAAATCCGGTGGACTTCTATCAAAACTACAAGTGAATCGCGCCACGTATTCACATTCATCTCACATCAGCCCATCTCCCAATCCTATGGTGCCCAAGCAACCCCTCGCCCGACTCACCGCCACAATCTCCCACCTCCTCCAAGTTCCACTTCCCACCCCCATCTCTCACACAAGCACTGTGCAGAATTCCCTTTTGAGTACCCTATCCATTTCTGGAAATAGCAGAACTCACTAACAGGGCTGAAACCTTTGCCCTCCATATTCCCAATCTAATTGGTCATGTATCAGGCCCCCCACGCAACGATAAAGCGGGGTACTCGTAGTGCCGTATCACATCGAAGTACAGTACATCACAAGTACTGTAAATAGATCACTCATCGAACGAATTTTTAGGACGCAGTAGGTATGATACGATCTCAATTCGCAAACCCACTCGCCTACTAAGCCAGGCTATCTGTATCGTAAAGGAAAAATAAAAATAAGTCTACACTACAAAACCCTCGCGAATGCCGCTAATAATTGGAGCGAAGCCTAGCTAAGGAAGGGAAGGAAAGTCTGGCAGGGACAGGAAGAATGCGCCCAACAAGGTTGTTTCTGACATTCCAGAGAGGAGACAAAGTACGAAGAAACAAATGGAAGCCGCTGTGAAGCAGGTGTTACAAATGATGAGCTATGGGGCATAAAGGAAAAACATGCTATGCTGAAGGGAGGGTGAAGAAATTGCAGAAATTTAGGTATAAACCGGTGGAGAGCGATCAGTAGGACTCGTTTATTGGTCTTAGATCATGACGATACTGTACCTTTTAGCTTTGCAAAGAAGCGGCGGCGAAGAGAAGAACAGAAGGAGAGAAGGGGGGGAGAGGGGACAGAAACTAAGACTCGTAAGTAGAGGCAAAACTCAATGTTCGGAAATGGATCGGAGAGGACAAGTACCCGTTCAGTGGCCGGGGCGTGATGGTCCACCGGCCCTAGCTACTCCCGGACTGCTAATCGGGCCGGGTTTCCCTCTATCTTTTTTTCTCCGACCGCCCCTCATGCGCTTCTTCGCGCTACCGGGTGCGCCGCGAGATTCTGGAGCTGGAGGGATTGGTGTCCCCTCACCGACGGTGGGTGACTCTTGTGGAACTGAGGTATCGGCGGTTCCATTAAAACCGTACATCCAACCTGCAGTAGTGTAATCTGTATGCCCAGGTATCCAGTGCATGGCCTGTTGGCCGTTACTGCCTTCCGGAGAAAAGTCGGGCTGTGGTTGCTGGGGTGAAAGGAATACTGGTGATTGCTGGGTGAAGTTTTGCTGCGGGAACCAAGGTGTCGAAGGACTGGGCATGTTCGGATCAAGATATGGTCCCCCCCATTGCTGGTTCGGATATCCGTAATTCATGTTGTCAGGGGGGAACCCAGATGCACCAAATCCCCATTGTCCATGGGATTCTCCATCAGACTGTTTCCCTGCCGGCAGAAATTCTCTCGTGCCCCCCCATCCATTCTGCTGAAGATACCCGACATCTTCATACATTTCAGCGGCCTGACCTTGTTCATGACGATCTAATTCCCCTGCCCGAATCAGTATACATTCGACCACCTGCTTCCCTTCAGTCCAAACATCCTCTAAGGTCTTCCTTCCTACTACCCAACTTCCAGGCTCGTCAGGTCGTTCCTTCTTATCGACTGGTACAAATTCAGGCACTCCACCATTTAAACTGCTCTTTGCCGATTTAGGCCTAGTTTCGCTTGGCTTTTTTGTTGGGGTTCCGACCGATTGTCCAGCAGCATCTCCTTGAGGTTCTATCTCAGAATCCTCGGGTTCATAGTAAAATCTTTGCCCCAAATCTTCCTCCTGTCTTTCCTCATCACCACCCTCAGCTTTCATAACACTCTGAGAAGGTTTGGGTCTCGAATGTGGGAAATACAAGTGATCCCGGTCATTCAGGGGGCCAAATAACTCAATAATGCTGGCCAACGTAGTGCTTAAAGGCAACTCTTCCGTCTGCATAACAAGATATCCACTTGCTGAGGCAGCAAAAGGAACTAAGATCCTCAACCTGAAACCAATTCGAGGAGGGGGCCGTGGGGGAAGTGATACAGGATGGGACAAGGATTTGGTAGTATGTTGGTCATCATCATCAGAGGAGATGCTAATCGGCGATTGCGACCTCATAGGCCCAGTTGGTGTTTTTAGCGGGGTTGATCTGGGCTTCTGTGCAGACGATTTCTGTTTTTCATATGTGTTGCGCTCGAATAGTAATCTTCGACGAAGTTCCGCCGCCTTATCGGGGCCCGGGGGGTCAGGCTCTGGAGCGCAATTCTCTGGGCTGGCAGGCGCATTCTTGGCTTGTAAGCCATCTCCGGGGTCCTGTAGTTTTCGACGTTTTTCGGTGTTTTCGGTGTTTTCGGTGCTTTCGGCGTTTTCCTCTAATGCTGTAGATAGTGCAGATACCTCGGGCTCAGAAACGGATTTTCGTTTCCTCAATCCACTTTCCAACAACCGCCGCCGCAATTCCGCCTCCAGTGCAGCCGAGGTCCGTATCTTTAGAGCGCCCGTAGAGCCCGATTTCGGCTGCTCTGGCGATGGCAAATTCGCCGGAGGGTGAGGTTTGTCCGGCTCTCTTGGCGAGGGGGCGTCCTGGAGAGCTTCATCACGGCGTTGCTCAACGCGAGTAGTAACTGACTCCACCTCCTCTCCTAATCCACAATCACGCGTTTCAATTGGTGATTTTGAAGCCACCAGTCTCCTATTACTATCCTGGAAACCTACTAAGCCACTCCCAGAGCCCAAACCGTTCATCTGACCCCGTCCCTCAAGGGCCTCTGTAGCCGGTGCCTCCGCCCCAGAATTACTCCGTTCCGATTCATTTCGCGGGCCAAGTTCGAGTCCAGGGATCGCCAGTGAGGCTAAAAGCTTATCGTAAAATGACTCCGCGTCAGTCATCGGATTGTCGCGGTGGAGAGGGAGGACCGTCGATCAAGAAAATAGGGGGCTTATTAATAGTACTAGTCAGCACGACTCTGTTAAGGGGGGTGGAAGTTCTTTCACCGCAGTAATGGCCAAGGGAGTATTTCTCATGGACAGTGGGGAAGGAAAATGCGCGTCGAAGGTGTGGTCTATTTGTAGTTGCAAGGTTACAGAAGGCTTGCAGGCGATGAAACTTAAGTGCGCTGAGGGGCAGAGAAATTGGAAATGAAATCACGTGATTATCGATTGTGGGGTTAGGTTATGGCGGTGCAATCCAGGATTGGAGCCACCAGTAAGTGTTGTGGCTTTCAGCATTAAGTTAAGCTTGGGCCGGTAATGACTAAGGTTATTAACAGCAGACGCTGCAAGTATCATAATATTATTATCACTCATTTTTTCCCGCTTTCCGTCATAATAGCATAGGTTTGCAAATCCTCCTGTCCCCACGGCTTTATAAAAAGTGCTGTAGCACCGTAGATTAGAGCAAAGGAATTGAGCAAACTCTTCCTCCCTTGCGTGCACTCTTTTCAATTCCCTGGTCGCCCTGCACGCTATTGGGCTACAATCAATTTCACAACGATGGCATTCTCCCAATACGGTGCAATATTAGAAGGGTTATCTACCAGATTACTCACATACTCCCGCCAGGCTCGCACCTCCGACTCAATGGTACCCTGTGCCAGCAGGGGAATAAGGCATATAAAATATTATTATTAGCCTTCTTCAATCTAAGGCGCCTTCCCAAGAACTCTGCCCAAACAAGGTTCTGGTAGACGACAACATAATCACCGTCATAGCCTCCACTATTTCCTTTCTAGAAAGGTAGAGTTTCTCATAATAAATACATTCGGAAGACACCAAGGCCTCCCTCAGACTCTCCGCTATATAGGTGGAGAAGCGCCACCATTCACTGATATCCATGTTCCAGAGGGATAATTACCCCATCCTAGAATAGCATCACGCAAAGACTCGGGGCTAAGCAGCCGACGGGAGCCCAGGATTCAAATCCCTTCCCATATGTGCTCTCATCCACACCAACTATCCTATCCTTGGAAACGTCAGGAGGAAAAGGCCACCCACGCTCGAACTGTGATACCCCACTCTCAGGTAGACCACTAACAGGTTGGTGTTCCCTACAGGAGAGCGTAACCACTTGCGCTATGATTAGCGGTATGAACAGTGCTCCAATGTTATCCGAATAGGGGTCACGAGGCCAAAAGGTGAGCAGCAGACTCTAACTTTTTCTTCGGAAATTTTGAGAATTTTACAACCTTATGGACGAACTAACCGTAAAAGTTAAGAAAGGGAAATAGGCTAGTGAAAAGGAGATGCTCTAATATTATAAGCCCAAAATATTGCACTATGAAGCCTCAGTCCCAGTTTGATGGACATAGTATATTGGGAGAGAAAAAAAAGAAATTTAAATATTTAAACGCCGCTCCACCAGTCAAAGTCCATCTCACATTCATTTATCATAATTTCCTTTCTCCCAGAATTCCCTCCCTATCACTTTTTCAATATTTGTGCTATTAGGTATGTTCCACCCCAGCCGCCAAGAAAACCCACCCAACCAATGGGTCCCCGGTTGGCCAAGTAGCTACCCTCTAGACCAAGTATGAAAAAAATCACTTTGTTACCGGGTATCACAATTATAAAGCAAAACACCCACCTATCTCGTTCAAGCAGTATCATAAGAGTTTTAATTTTGTGTTTAACAAGTTCGGTTTAGGCATACTTTGCAGCTTCTATAGAGAAAAACCACCTCGATCATCTTTAATACGGTCCGCCACCGTCTTTTCCCTTTTATCAACATTTTTTTGCTGTGATGCTCAGAGATTACCTGTATGCCCTTTTCATGTGAGACGTGTTAAAAATAGACCATATGGCTTCGCTCCCCTCAACATAGAAACCGTGTACGCGATCCTTGAGCACTCTCCTTTTGATCTTGTTAGCAAGGGAGTCATGTGTGAGCAATTCTTCTGGAGAGCGCAGCCGGAAAGAGCTCCCAGCAGGGGCCCAACGGGAAGTGATATACGACTATGAGTCAGGCAGCTATCGAAAACTATTAGCTCTCAACTCCCTACCTCTGCCCCTATAAGACCCCAATCCCCATCGTTATTTTTCTAATTATTTCACCGCTTTATATCCTATAGCTACCCTATTGCCCTAGACCCCCTTCTGAGCCAGCATTGGGATTTTCTTTGCCATTGGAGTAGAGAAGTCTCCACCATGCATACCGGTCCGGCGGTTCAGGTTAACAAACTTGATTGAGTCACGCAGGCACAAAGTCCCAGATTTCCAGGACCTGGTTGCCAATAGCACAACAACAGAAACATGTTCATACCTCAACCAATACATACCGTACTTAGGGGAGACTCACGCTCGGCTGTTTCTGCGGTCTCCAGTACTCGGTTTTTGGCAACTAAAAACCATACTCTGGATGCTTTAGTACTGCGCCGAAGATGGCCTTTTTCAGTTTTCCGGCTTGGTGTCGATAGGGAGCTGCTGTACTATTTCTGGAACAAAAAAAAACAAGTAGGCACAAAACCACCTGCAAACACTATATGCATAGCAAGGAAGCCATTTCTTCTCCCCCGTTGTTGTGACATAGGTGAGAAAATTTGTCTCAAATATTTAAGGGAAGCCGCCAAGTACCGAGAATAAAGCCATTTTACAATTGGAATCCGTACCCGTGTAGTGTCCGGAATTTTTTTAAAAACTCAGACACGCAACCCATAGTTCTTGACAGCGACCCAAGGTCTATGCGTGCTTGGCCAGGTCACGGGGTTTGGCTACTGCTCTAAGATCCAACGAAATATTTGGATGCTTGTTTGGCACACCAATGTTTTGAGCTGTTCTCAAACTTATGTCGAATCACGGTGCGCCAAATACGCTCTTACCGGTATCATAGTGAAAACATAGAATTGCACAATTTTAGAAGAAAAAATACTTAGTGGGCGTTTGGTGCTCCAAACTGCCCCCTTACGGCACCGGTAACTCATCGAGAGTCTATAACTAAAGCTAATTTTAGGCGGGGTTATCGGACTGAGAAACTTTTGGGTTTTCCTTTGGTTAAGTCCCGTTCTATGGCGAGCTCCGGGAGGGCTTTGGCAGATGTGCGTGGATTGCCGTCAGTAGAAGGCGACATCGGCTCTTGAGATTGTTATTTCGCAAGCAATCTGAGAAGACCCTCCCACCAGACCCCGGCATTATGGTAGTTACAAAAAACCCACTGACCATCAGAACCTAGACTCGGGAGTGTCATATATCCCACGAGCCAAACCCAAGAGCCAATAAGCACCACATCCACAACGCCTGAATACCGTAGAATCTCATATTAAGCCATATGCTATGTCGTTTGAAGTTGCCTCCTCTGGTAAGTTCTGGTATTTTCGGGGGGTTTTTTTATGCCCCTCAAAGGGGGTGAACGACTCACCTTCTGCTCTGCTTTTCGCCCCTTTTCCAGGGAAGGAATTTTGGACCACCCAGCATTCGAGTATATGGCTCCGTTATCTGAGGTCCTACAGTAGACACATCTACCCCGTACAATAGACTGGGTTTACTCTCGAGGGAGATGTAGTCCCAAGCACTCTTTGTTTTCCTACAGATAAATTATAATGATTTTTTCTCGGCATTGTTTGCTGGCCGTTTACTATTACTATAAGGAAGTTGGTACTCCCGAAAACTGAGCTAAACAAGTACGACTGCGCTGACAGCTGCAGCGCTCAAGACGATAGGATACATAAAGGGAGACAGCGCAATCGAGTGAGCTCCAATTCAGATTTTCATAGCACCATGTTTCTCGGTTCCTCGGTCGATAGTTCCCTTCCCTTTCGCCTAGCTTTTAAAGACAAACATCGTGCCAACTCGGCACCAACGACACAACTCTTCCTATTTACCTACAGATCCAAATCCACTTGATTTGGATTACCTTGTCCTTCTGCTCTTCATACCCCTGTTAGTGTTCATGTTCATCATCACCACGATCACCACGATCACCACCACCACCACCACCATCATCATCATCATCATTATCTCAAACTACAAATACTTCAGGAACTTGAGGTCAGCCAAGAAGTTTCAAGGAGAATTCCGAGAGCTAATGTGCAAAGTCCCCATACCCCCTCAAGCACTAAGTTACTAGCTCTCTGTTTCTATTGTGCAGTATCGTAAGAAGCAAACTGCAAGACATGTTTACAGTGTCCATAGAGACATATCCGAAAAGAGGACTCTATTCTGTTATTGTTGACAGGTATTGCTAATGGGGTACAAGAAAGGGTGTGAGAACTTTACTGACGCCGCTGTATCAGGGTCAAAGTTCCAATGCCAACAACAAAACATCCACCTAACCCCCGACCCGGAACCGAGATCTACTCCGCAAAGCGGCAAAAAAAGGCTTTATAAATTGGAAGCTGTTCCCTTTTCCGTTTACCCTTCTCTTTCATTTTGTTCCACCGCACTAATTCAGGACCCAGTTGGGTAGTTTTATCAGCTCCCATAAGAGCCGCCATAATTTACGACTGTATCATACAGGTATCTTCATTGCCGGCACCTCACAGCGGTCATTACCACCATAAGCAACTGCCGGCAATGTACCGTACAGTACACACAGACTTCACGGTGTACTTTGATAGATAACCGCGATAGTGCAGTTATCATTACTTACTCTTACCGTTATGGCAATTGTGCTATCCAACTTGTTATCGATAGCCTATCATCTGCTCACAATGCCCTCCAGCGGGTTAAAAGCTACGACGATTCGCGCTTCTCGAAAAGTGCATTAATAGCACCTCGCCCGCATTCTCTAATACCGATAGATGTATGTGGGCCGGTGCTGGTTCAATTGCGGCTTTATCCCGGTGGATTCTCCTCCTGTCATTGGGCTCATGTTGTCCTGCCGCCTTCACCTGATCGTCGCTGTCAATGCTATCGCTCCTCATATTATGGGTCACCGTTCTCAAACGACAAAAGAAATTATCCCTCCTACGGGGTTATGCCCACCATCTTAAATCGTATTCTTAGATTGAGAATCGAGCTATTTGGTAGTAATTCTTGTTACCAAATAATTGCCAGCTTTTTCTTAAAGAAAGGGCGACTTGTTTTTTAACAGAGCCGTTACAGCACCATGGAAAATCACTCGCGTTAAAGCAAAAAGCTCATCGATCAATTGGATTCATAGTCTTTGCGAATCACTATACGCCAATTCTCAAAGTGTCCGGAAGTCGTACTACCGGGATTCGCAGATTTGGACGTGTTTTTCGGTGCCTGGCACGCAGATTCCCGGATATGTTTGGAACCGGTCGGTAAGTGACCAACGAGATTGACAGTTACTCAAGTACGGTACTCGAGTGGTGCTAATAGGCTGTTCATGCTTGAAGGATACGCTGGCTCTTATCTCCTGCTTCGAGACACGTCCAATTGGTTGGTGTTGCGGAGTGCATGCAGAGATGCCAAGCCCGGTAGTGATGCAGAGGCGAAGAAACGTTCCGCCCAAACCCGTTCTGATAAGGCCTGAACACTAAGTACAGTACTGCGTTATAGTCTACTCGAGTACAAACCTCATATCTAGATGGGAGTTAGATGCAATAGGAATATCCAAGGTGTACCGGGGACACGGTGAGCGATCTCCTTTTCGGGGCATTCGGATACTGTCGAGTCTGTACAGTACCGGTACCCATCTCTACCCACACCCCACAAAACTGTTCCCCCCGAAAATATTGCCCAGACCCGTTTGCACATACTCGGAGCATGGGTCGACGAACGAAAGATCATACGATACGGTGTAGGTACGAGCGTTCGAGAAGAGGGTAACATACATGCACTTTTGAGCCCCTCTTGGGTCTACAAACCTGCTGCAATACAAGTACTGTAAGGGCCCGAATACCAACAGAAGATAAATGTTCCAGGGCGCTGTAACACCCACTCCTAGTAAGACCCTTTGTCTATTCCTTCTAATTACTCCCAAGTGAGGCCTGGGTTTTCAGCGCCTTCCCTTCGCCTAGCGGAGAAGGGGGTATTCCAACGTCGTAGCCCCTTTACCTTCTATTCGAGTTCTTACGGTATCGGTTTCTCACAATTACCACCAAAACTCTAGCACCCAATTTTGCTAACAAGCAAGGTACCGACGGCAGAGTGCGATAACTGAACTCAACCAACTCTACGAGTGCTGCGAACATATTTGGCTTTGTTGAGTCAGCAGCTGACTAGGGTCTTAGCGAGTTAGTCCTTTCCAAGCAAACACTACAGTAATTGGTGAAAACCGGCAGGCGCTACAAGTAGAACATTCAAATAACGGTTTTAATTCACGTTTTGTCTCAAACGCCATATCCTAACTGTTTATCGGTATTTGGCCAAGACTAATCCTTTCGGGGATCCCGCTTTGACGAAATCGTAAGTTTTCACTTCAGCCGCTCCTTGTTTCGACCTGAGGGCGCCTGCAGATCTCGCCAATTTATGCGGTACCGGTACTAAAAGTTGTCCCTCAAGTCATATACTGTACTCGAATAACGAAAAGAACTCTCACTCCCCCTGATCGGCTTTGGGTGCGGAAAAGAGAAACTAGGAACCTGCTGTCTTCTCTCCTTTGCCGTCGACGACAACCCGGCGAGAGTCCGCTACGCCTGGAAAGAATTTGACTCCTCGTTAAAACGTTACTGACCCTAAGCAATAGCCTAAAGGCGATAAAGCGTACCGGTAGCCTACTCGAGTAAGTGGATTCTTATCCACCCACAGTGGCCGGCCATCATGCAAGTGGAGCGTTACGTAATTTAGTCACAGCCTCCTCACCCGAAATACGAGTACTTCCCTCAGTATCAGTGTACGGTACTGGTACTGTGCCGGTAGCTTGACTCCAAATGGAAAGACGGCCAGGTTCGGGGTGCCTTGGGAACCGGAATAATTGAACCTTACGCTGGGACGTTAGAGCTGCCTCTCCTAGTAAGATCTATTGTACTCAAGTATTTCTCTCTTTATTTGTCTCAGTGGCTAATAGCCAGTTTTTCCCGGGGCCATTCCCCCGTTTATCCAAAGAAGGAAATTCTAGACGTCTTAGCGTGAGGTTTAATTATTCCAGTTCTCATGGTACATATGCATCCGCTCCATCCCACTCCAATAATGGGACCCTGCGTTCAACCCTTTGTCTAACCGGGAGGTATATATTGGCGCCGCTACAAACTGTTTGATTGCGGGCGAAACGATAACTGGTAGCATGCGGGAGATAATCTTCCGGTGCAGTGCATACCTTCCGGAGGATGAATGGAGAAGGTGGGGCAATTTCGTGCCGGTACTGGGGCTAGTTGTCATCTTGCCCAGTCCGACCCCGCCCAATTAACCCTAGAGTACTCGAGTATCGGTACAATTTTGTCAAACGCTTGAGAGCCTTGGATTTGGGCCAGCTTTGTGCCAGTCCCAGTAGTCTACTAACCCCAATGTCGACTCGGAAAAGCGGGGGAATTTCACAAGTAGGAACTTGACGTAATTTTGATGCGTTCTTTTCAGCCTGCTCGGTGCCTAACGCTTAAAACCCTTCACCAATGCGAATTGAGAGGAATCCAATGCAGGCTCCAACTGTTGCCAACCGCCCCGCAGAATACAAAAAGACCGGAAAAAAAGGAGAGAATTTACGATATCTTGGAAGAGAAAAAGCAGACAAACGTTTTTTTTGTTCCCTTCCACACCTTCTATCCACACGGCCGGCAGGAAGGAAGTAGCAGCGACGCATGAACCATATCCTTCACGCAACAAAACAAATTAACGGGAATTGTTTGGTAAAGCCACTTCAGGCTGATTTGAAATAGCTGCCCGTCACACCTCTCCGAACCTAGAAGAAAGCTCACTTGAGCAGAAAAAGACCGCACAATAACAAAGAACAAGGATTGTCAGGACAAGTCCTCAAGAGGCAAAGATAAAACGCTGCAGCGCCAATTCGATACCGCGGACCTTCAAACTCGGCAAATAACCAGACTATTTCCTCGGCTGAATTCTAGGGTTTCCATTCAGAAGGGGAGTGCGTGAAACGGAGCCATTGGACACCCTTCCGTCCCCGAATTTCCCCGCAGGCAAGGCCGGTGTGAGAGGGAGTGAGTGAGTTTGGGAGAGGGTGCGTCTGGGACAATAAATCAGGCCGCATCGGCAATGAATATCGAGGACGATACGAGTCGATCAAGCTGGCCTTTATTTCATTTTTCCTTGTGATATAACGAACACCAGTTTTCCTTTCCTGTAAGTTTCTCTTTCTTTCCTCCTTTTCTATCCCCACCCCTTGGAAACCTTTTCTAGCTACAAAAGATAAGAGGGAAAGAAAGCAAGAGCCCAAAGACTGACAGACATCATGACGTCCATTCTAAAGAGCCTCCTTCAATTCCTCTTCCCCTCCAAAATGCCCAAGCAAAAGGCCCTCCACTTTGGAGCCGGTAACATCGGTCGTGGCTTCATCGGTGCCCTTCTTGCTACAGCCGGATACGAACTTGTCTTCGCGGACGTTGTGGAGAACTTGATCAATGCTCTTAACGAGAATGGGGAGTACGAGATATACATCTTAGACCTGGAACGCAAAGGCGAAGTCGACACGATAAAAGGCGTATCAGGCATAATTTCCACAAACCAAGAAGCAATGAACAAGACCATCACCGAAGCCTCAATAATCACCACAGCCGTAGGTCCCAATGTCCTCCGAATCATCGCCCGGGGGGTGGCATCCGGCATCTCCGCCCGCCGAGCGGCCGGCGTGACCTCCGAACTCAACATAATCGCCTGCGAGAACCTCACCGGTGCTTCATCCCTTCTCAAAGAAGAAGTTACAAAGCACCTTAAGGAGGATGCGGACAAAGAGTACCTTGACAAGTACGTAGGCTTCCCGAACTGCGCCGTCGACCGTATCGTGCCGCCCTTCACAAAAGACAACAACCCCCTCGCCGTCGGCGTAGAGAACTTCTACGAATGGATTGTGGAGGAGCCCGCCATCAAGGGAGAGAAGCTAGATATCCCAGGCATGAAGCTAACAGACAACCTCACGGCATTCGTCCAGCGAAAGCTCTTCACGCTAAACTGCGGACACGCAATCACCGCATACCTCGGCTTCCTGAAAGGCTTCCGAACGGTCGACGAGGCACTTGGCGACCCGTGGATCGAAGATATTGTGCACAAAGCTATGCTCGAGTCCGGCGCTGCGCTCTGCAAGAAACACTCCTTCAACGAGGAGGAACACGAGAAGTACATTAACAAGATCCAGAAGCGCTTCCGGAACCCATACATCAAGGACGACGTGGTCCGTGTCGGCCGGGAACCCATCCGCAAAGTCACCCAGGGAGATAGACTCGTCGGTCCGTTGAACATGGCGAGGGAGTTCGGGCTTGGGTACAGCAATCTAGCGAAGGGCATTGCCGCCGCGTTCCTATACGAGAACAAAGATGATAAGCAGAGTGGAGAGCTCCGCGCTAAGGTTGAGCAGAAGGGGATTCGGGAGGCGGTTAAAGAAGTCACTGGCCTGCAAGATGGCGAGGTCGTCGAGGAGATCGTCAAGAGTTATGGGGAATTGGAGGGGCTGAAGAGGCCGAATTTGTAAACCTTGGTTGTGGTTCGCCGTTTGGATATTGGGGTAGGGATATATCAAATCTTTGCGTTTTTTACTTTTAACCTTTTGGTCTGGGTTATGGAATTGGCGGGATTCCCTTTTGGTTGTTACCCGTTCGTCCACTTGTCTATTGTACGGGTCATCGAATACATCATGATATATCTATCCCCTTCCAAAAAGCTTTCTTGTACCGGTATCGTACCTACTCATCAGCGGGATTACTCCTACAACCCATGATGGTCTTCCGACAGGTAACATATTTCACGACACTTTTTTTTTCTTTCCTTTTTTCTTTCTCTCGCTTGATCCCACTCGCGGGTATTTATCCATTACAAATCGGACGAAAACAAAATTTCACATAGCCTAACGGAAAAGTACCATAGTCAAACTACAAGTAGAATCCGTTCCGGCTTAGGCTCGCGGTAGATCTTGTATAGTGCGGGGTGTCCTCGGGCCGAGCGGGGGTGCCTCATGACGCTCGTGTTACTGGCACAGTACTGGGTACAGTCGTGTCTACCAAGTTGAAATACCCCTTGGAAACGTTTTGCTACCGGTAGACTAGCCCAGTCTTTCTATCATGTAAGAAGCGGTTGTGGTATGATGGGTGTTTATGATGCCCCTAGACGGATCTGAAAACGGTCATGTGAAGGGGTCTTGTTCTGTTGCTGATGGGTATTTTTTTGGGATGCGAGGGACGGTGCGAGAATTTTACGGGCGCGGCTATATGATACACGTCACACGTGGTTATGAAAAAAAGCGCAGTGATGTGGGCCCTACTTTGATAAACAGATGAAGAAAGAAAATTGAAAGAAGAAGAAAAGAAGGGGATGAAATCCTTGTTCATTAGACTACTCATATATCACCCTACCAAAACTCCTACTTCTCACAAGCCCACTCCAACAAATTCATATACCCCGGATGGTTCTGCGGATACCTCGCATTAAACTTTGTAATCGCCTTGAGCCTTCGGTAATGCTCGACGCTAATCTTCTCGGGGTCCTGCGAGACCATGCGTAGTACGTTCTCCGTGCAGGGCGGGGTCGTGAGACTACCGCGGTAGGTATACACCCGCTCGCGACGATACGCGCGATAGAAGCGGTCAAGGATGGGGCTGGGGTCGAATTGCACAAAGGTGGCGGTGAGTGGTGTGGCGACAAAGGGGAGCCAAGGGTGCAATGTTGTGAGGAGGTGATTGCTGCTAGTGGTGTCTATGTCCAGGAGGGTAGAGAGGACAGTTGTTTGGCCTGAGGCACGGATTAGTTTCGCAGCGTGCACGAAGGATGGGGGGGGGGCTTCACCGACCGTCGGTAGTCTTAAACACGGCGTGTAACTCAGCGACAAAGTGCTCGCCATCAAGGTGGTGTTCGCTAGGGGTGTGGAAGTGCATTGTGTCGAGTAATGCCCATCCTCCACCCTTGCCGACTCCCCCGCCTCCGCCGGCCGAGTCACCGGGGTAGAGTTGGTAGCCGTACTTTGCATCTTCCTCTTGCGGTTTTATGCTAACGGTCTGACCCTCGTTCTCCAGGATCCCGTACTCACGGTAGTCGCCCCGCCGCAGCTTCAGCCCGGTCGGGCGCTTCAGTGCTTGGTGGATGTTTATTGGGGATTGCCGGATACCGGTCTTGCACAGGACGTTGGCTGGAGAGAGTCTGTGCCAGGAGAGAGGGCCGGAGTGGTAGTGGTAGCCCCATGGCGCAGTGGCGATGGTGAGGTTATTTGGGGAGGAGGTCTCTGGCTGGAGGAGGGGGGTCTGGGTGTTAAGGAGGGCATGGGTGAGGGTCAGGAGGAAAGTGAGGAGGAGGAGATGTGTTGTTGTGGATGGTGAGTGCATTGTGGTATATGATAATTCGCGTGGTGTAGCGTACCGTACAGCAAATCGAGTTTGTCTGGAGCGTAGGGGGGTCGATTAGAATCGTGTCCACCTCTTCACCTTCTTTCCCAACCTCTTCCCGCGCGGAGTGGAAGGCCCCATATTCGCCTACTTATATCCCCATCCATCTATCCAGTAGCCAACGACCAACTAACACCCCGGTAACTTTCTCGAATCCCATTGGCGCCGGCTCACACCGCGGTTACTTCTCCCGCCCATTGGGCGGAAGGCAAAAAAATTTGCTTGCACCGGTACCGGTATGGTTGTCTCGCATTTCCAGTTCCGGGGATGTTTTGCAGGAGGCTCGTTGTCATAATGGACTCGAGTGCCGGTACTATCAGGACCTGCGCATGCTGCCACCGGTGTTGGGGAACAATGCTGTAGCAGTGCTGGTGTAGATGTGAAAGCTTGGCAGCATTGTTGTCAGAATTGGTAAGGCATTTGGCGGAACAGAGGGACTTATCGTTCCATCTTCTAATTGACTACCGGTATCTGGGGATCGCCAATGATAGGCGGCTGTGTGGAGTGGTAGTGGTTTCAGCGAGTCCAGAGGTGAGCGGCGTGAGGGGTAAAGGGACCTTGTTGTGTCGTGTCGTGTTGAGTCGCATGTTTGTTTAATAATAGTTCTTGAGTAGGCGCAGACCTTCGATAAGATAGTGGTCTGGGCATTTCGAGGAAATTGGTCTTCCACCGTCAGTTATCGTTTACCATAACATGGTGAGAGCATGTGAATGGAAAAGAAAATGTGAAGCTAGACCAGCTTACAGCCTGGGGGGAGTGCAAACAAAAAATTCTCTTAATTAATCTTCAGATAGTATATTACTACCGGGCGCCCCAACCTCTACTCGTAGAAGAAGTTGCAATCGCCCGTCGGGCAACAAAATTGTGACTGCTCCGATAAAAACGAAAAAATATTCCGACATCGACAGGACTCGAACCTATGCTCGCGAACGAAACAGATTTCTAATCTGTCGCCTTAACCACTCGGCCACGATGTCTTCGGTTGAATAAAGTCTCCTCAATTTCTGCTATATTCCACAATATCATGGTTAGGCATCAGTGAGCTCTTGGGTGAAACGTTCGGACCGCAAAATCACCACTCTTCACGAACAACCTACGATAATTATAGGCAAACATATCAATCCCAAAATGACAAAACCCCTCGCGCTTCCGGAGACTAAAAGGTCAACCCACAGTTTAAGTACTATACGGTACTACACAGAGCGGTTCAGTTGCTCGTTACGAGTTTTTTCCCGCGAGTTCTTGGGTCGCCTCGAGCCGGTTTAGCCCGGGGGTTGCCACAATGACGCAGACCCGGACAGCGCGGCATCGAACGGTATCGCGAAATTGTTCTGTAGGCACGCCTCATTCAAAATGCCTGTCCAGTGTCAGGTCCATCCCATTCAGGAACGCACGCTAATGCTTCACCTTGATAATGCGCCCCCCAAGTCAACTGCCCCCCGGAAGCCCACCGCTTGCTCCTTATGATGCTATGGCTACCTCCGAGACGGCGAGAGTATTACGGTGCCGACCGCCCCCCTCCCCGCCCGGCTGCTCTGGCTACCGTGCCGAAGAGGTCAGTCGCTGGACTATGATACTGCTAACGCTCCCGCCGGCCAGGTCAACCTTACCCACTATTCTTAGTGGCATTTATTTCTTGTCATCTCCCTCGATGTTCCGAGGGGCGCTGCTGGCCTACTGCTGGTAGACCAAGATAGTTCATAATATTAGTTCTCTGCCGAAAAGGGTCACTCCCGGTCACTCAAAAGGCAATACTTCTCTACACAGACAATTCCCCACAGTTTGAGAGCTCGGTTGCGATGGAATTATAGATAATAGTCGGCGGTTCTGAAGCTCGCATAGGAGCAGAGGCCGGCATCGCATTCGGCCCGTGCACTGTCATGTGAGATTGTGATAAGGAGAAAGAACAATTAGATTCCATACACCACTACTTTCTAACGCCTCCCTACCCATCCCCGGCAAATACTTTGCCACTTAGAAAGCCCTGACGAAAGAATATTTTAGGTATCGACCAGGCTTTTTACCACACCTCGCCATATGTCCCATTCTTAACACACACCACAATCCAAACCACGGCACTTCACTAGCCTAGGCACCTGAATGACTATTGCTGCCTACACACCAGCCTTTAATTTCCGCACCGTTGTATGATATAATACATATAAACTATAAATTCGCTATCAAAAAGCCCCCAATCCCACCCCAACCCGGATCTCCGATTCATGTCAGATATGGTAACCTCCGCCAAGGAATGGAAGAGTTACATATAAGACCCTCACCCCCCTCAATCCTCCTTCGGAGACTGCCCCTCGAGGGCGCTATCCAGGGCTAGACCCTCCTCCGTAGCCATTCCTTTACCTCCTCCACTTCCCACCGGGCGCTTTTTCGACTTCTCTCTCCTCCTCCTCCTCTTCCGGGACGAACGGGAGCACGTAAGGACTCAATTCGCCTATACCCGTCGTCGTTAGTGTTATGAAAACGCTTCGTCAATGGGAATACTTACAGTTGCAGCACAGGTCAAAGGGAAACTGGACCCAGACTGTCTGGCAGCTTAGGCATGGTCTCGTGGGCTTTGGTCCATATTCGAGTTTTGGGGCGTAGAATCCTCTAGTGGGTGTCCTCTTATTGGGTGATGAGAAGCAGCATTTGCCGAAGGCTTTTCTGATCTTGAGCTTGAGTTGAGTGAAGGATGGCATTTCGGTTAAAAAATTTAGGATTCGATGTTTTTTTTTCTGTTTTCTTTTTCGTTGGTCGGGAGTTTGCGTTGGTTTGTTGGTATAGATTCGTTGATGGATCAATGGATGAGGACGGTCTCGGTGATGTACTGTATGTAGTAGGAGGCGGGGGAGAAGTTCTGGAGAGAGAGCTCAATGGCTATTTGTGAGTTCAATGGCCGTTTGTAAGTTCAATGGCCGTTTGTGAGTTGGCATGATAGGGCCATTGAACTTGATGGTATGATAGACCTTTTCTATTTTAATTCAAGGTGGTTCGCAGGTGGGTATGGTTTGGAATAGAATTCAACATGTTTGACCGCGGTAAGGAGGTCGGTCCACAGTTGGCTTCGCCGGTTCAGAATCCCAATGGTATGATAGAGGTAGCAGAAATCCGTTTGATAGACAATCGCATATCGTTTGTTCAGTGCGCTCTGGCATTAATCTTCCCGACCAAGGGATTGGCGAAATCTGCCGTACAGTACCCTGATTATTCGTATCAAGGGACGAACCCATTATAAATTACTGAGGATAACTTGGCAAGCTGTAACGAGGGGTAGTGTGTTCTATCATATAATGGCAGTGCGAGTTGCTGTAATTCTTGATTGAGATTGTATTGTTTGCTTGAATATACCTATCCCTGAGTGTCCATAGGACCCTACTTAATGCTACAGGGAGGCGGACTAAACAATACATGATGTACTGTACAGTACCGGTATGGTAGAGATAAGAAAAAGGAAAAGTCAACCACAACGGCGCTGCATAATGCAGCGGTAACAGAAAGGAAAAGCGAGCGAGATAACTAAACTAGTGGCACGATAGAGTTTCCGTTCATCTACTGATGAGCTCATACTAGTAACTATGACAGTCATAATCAAATACGCAACTGATGCATATTTGAAAGCCATATTACAACCCGAGTGATGGTCAGACATTCGAGTGAAATTCTGTGACCTTGATTTTCATCACCTCATTTCTATCAAGCCCGGCAGTATTTCGCGCAGTGGTGATTGCCTCTTCTCCATACATATTTAGGAGGTTGCAATATTTCGGTATGCGCCCAGCTCCCTTGTGCTAATTTCATGATGCCTGCCGGAGTATCGGCCGTGTGGTTTTCAAGAATAGATTGGTTCGTTCGGTTAGTTCGACAAAACAGTATCTCGCTTCAAGTAACGTATGCTTGCCCACTAAGCCGCGTCGAAACTCGGCCCTTCGGTACAGCACTAAGTCCATGGGCAGCTTGAAAAACCCACGGATGATAGCCGACAGAAAGACCCGGTTCACAACGTCCCTCGAGTTAGCCGATGAAAAAAATAGAGGGGAAAAAAGACACTTAATCCTATTTGAAAACCCCACCATCGAACCCCTAGAAAAACACCATCTTGAATCCCTCTCCACCCAGATCCCTTTGGATATATAACCTCTATCCCCTGTCCCCCCTCCGGTACTCCTATTCCCCGCCCAACACAACACAACCTCAACTGCCCAACCCAAAATGCCACCCAAAAGCCCCATAACCCTCCAGGAGAAGGTCTACAGCGCTGCAAAACTTGCTGCCGACATGAAAAAACTACTAACTTCGCAGCGCCCACCCATCGCCGAAACGGACAGAGTGATCAGACTGATCAAGGGCATTGTCGACGAGGTCTGGGACACTCTGCACTTACATGACCTTGAGAAAGGTGAGCGCTGGATCTGTCTTGAGGAGGCTGACGGAATTGTGGATTCTAGGATGAAGATTTTGGTAGAGTTGTGGGAGGCGGCTGGGGAGGTTGTTGCTGAGAAGGGCGCGGGACAGAGGGTGGGCGGAGGAACAGGGGAAGGGGGTCTCTCGGGCTAGCTGGATGATGTTGAGTAATTTTTTGTGTTTCTTTTGGGGGGGCGGAAGAGTTCTCGGTGATATTTGGTTTGTATAGTTGATTATCGCTTTTGAATATTTTGCTCGGCTGTTAAGTGGTTCTTTCCCGAAACCTATGATAGCATATTAATTTAAGATTCGTATCCAGGTGGGATATCTGTAAATCCACGCTTTTCGGTTTCCCGACGTGCCACACCCCATGTCGTACTCTGAACCCACAGTTCACAGAATTTCCACGGATAGTCCCTTAGGAGGGCAGGAAGGGCCTGTAGGGGGGTTGTGAGCGCAGAGTATCATAGGTTAAACAGCAAGGTGGAGGACCCTATTGAAAAGTTACCCGATCGAACCCTTTTACCACAATTAGATCACCTCCGCCAAACATTTTCGTTGACTCGTTTTCTCAAGAACGTCAACAAATATTTCGAGAACCCCCATCCCTGGTGATTTCGTTAATCAGTATGCCTGCGCTACTCGACGCGGATAACTATAGCTAGCAAGCCCTCTTCGGAAAAATTCTTATAAAGCTGTGTGAACCCCAGGCTTAAGTCCGGCGATACCTGCAGGCCTTAAGACCTTGAATGGCGGACAAATGTGCTAAAGCGCCATCTGTGTATCGTAGACTATTCCCCCCGTCATGTCTCAACAGAGGGCTCAGTTTACATTTTTCCCCCTCTGGTAACCGAAAAGGTACTGTACCTGTACCGGTATTCCTAAAGCCGAAGAAGTGCAAATTTCTTTCGAAAAATTCCTCCAAGGACCAAAATAGTAGTAAAGAGCGAGAAATGGGCGGCTAGTCTGCGGAAAGAATCCGACCCCAACCCAGTACTGTACTCGTACAGTACCGCACAGTATGGACAAATAGAGTGTTTGGCAAACTGTGATTTCAAATTGCGATTTCCGGAGAGAGAAAACGTGAATAGGGTTTAAAAATGTGATTTCGAATTATACAAAATCGTATGATAATTTGAATTCCAAATCACGTTTGCCAAGCACCCAGAAAAGGTTTGCCCATTAGGGACAACCCGAGATCTGTCGTACACAGGACAGAAATCCCAAACTGCTCCACACAGTAAAAACACCAGCCATGGGTAGGCTAATACGCCCATGGCGTCCTCCGGGCATCTGGGTCAGGTCTAATCCAGGATAGTTACTGAGGGGAGGAGGTGGATAAATGAAAACCACAGTTCAAATGCCATGATTAATATTTGCCCTATACGCTAATAGCTTGATTGAGCGAGGATGGGGTAGCGGCACTGATTTCCGCTCCTGCTCTGAGGTTTTCATGAAAACTAAAGGGCTCACCATGTGGTAAGCCGACCCCCAACTTTAGCTTTTCTTTTTTTACAATGTGATACGATGAGGAGCCGGGATAAAAAACCGGATAAGATTTTAGAGAAAGAACTTTTCCTTTCACTTGGGGTCAGGTACGGTGGTTGCGATTGGTAAACCCCATTGGGAAGTATTCTCCTATGATATCATAGATGTTTAGTGTTCTCTTCACCGACGGCCCAAAAACCCAACAGCACAGGGAATTATAGTAGGGAAATACCCCACCAGCAGAGCAGAACCCATGTGCCCACAATATGCCTCAGCCCACATACAATACCTCCTCGCTCAGCACCGTCACTGAATATTAGAAGCGTCGTGAGCAAGAAAAAGAGGAACAAAAGAGTTCAGCATCCGGGATTCCCACATGGTCACCCACTGTAGTACTAACCGGACGATACGATGCTTGTTTACCGCAGAGCGGACGGGATGCGAAATTTTCATCGTTCTATGGCCGAACACATCAGTTCTTTCTTCTTTCAATGTTTATAGGCCAGGGAATCCAGGGTATGGGTGATCACCCGTATTGTGATTTCCGTCTTCGGATTTGTGTTCTATCATAGCTGTGTTGAGGGCAGGGAGGGTGGTGCATCCTGAGCGAGGGGAATAGGCCGTATCGCCAAGACGCATCACCAAACAGCTTACCGGGTGACACCAGGCTCCCAAAAGGAGCAGGACCTTGCGGGCGAATACTGCACAATCGCACCCCGTTGCCCCGGATAGTAAACCCTCTGGGCGGACTATCCTGGACAAGGAAGTATCCGGGGGAGTGGAGGAGATCTTCTCTAAAATAATTGAAAGTCGAGTGCCAATCAAGCAGTGATAACTAGGGACCACTTTGTATAAGGTCTAAATGGGGGGTATTGCAGCTATAAAAGGACATGGGGAATGAGCTGAAAGTTTCAATAACCATTCTGATAGCACTCAATAGAAAATTTTCATTTCGGATTACTAGTATCCTCCTTGTGGACCCGTCAACAAAACTCTCATATGGGAGCAAAAGGGTCGACACCCAGCCTTGAACTCGAAATGTCTACTAATAAGAATTAGCAGGAATCTGGAGCCTTATATGTTGGTGACTCCACAAGTACCGAGGGGGACGACCGGGAAAGGGATAAGGAAGAGGAGAAATATTGGACCTGCATTCCCGCCAGGGACCGATCATGGCATGGTATTATCCAAGCCTTTAAACGGCTGCGGGGTCGGGTTATTGGCCTGAATGGAGTGAAAACCCGGGACATTGAATTTATTTTCTAGGTGAATAGGGGTTCGAGATTTTCAAATTGCCGCCCGGTCCGAAAACACCCGAGATCTGGGACACTGAAGCCTATTTCTATGTACCTTTGGCGAGTTTTGGATCAGGTGGAGTAGAATTCGGGATACTCGTACTTTGGCCTGCCCGTTCAAAGCTGTTGATTACTCGAGTAGACTAAGTTACTTGTATTCGTATGACGCGCATCGGCACTTACCCGTAAGCGGGGTCGGGAGATCACCAAGACCTTGGGAGAAACTTAAAACGGCCCATTCGGTATCATACTAAGTTTCGGCCTCCGGTGACTTCACCTCTTGGAATTCTTTTTGTTTACTAATACTTCTGCTATCCACAGCACGCCCGGGCTCTCGGGGGAGACATTGTTCCTCGTAGTGCCGATACCGCTAGATTTGGTGTTTTATCACAGCACCCGACTCAGATTGGTGTTTAATCGAGCCACACCAACGGTACGATATCTCAATAGAGCCGGATTTCACTGGAAATTAAAAATTAGTGTAACTTGCGGTAGTAAATTTGGTTCTGTCACGACGCAGTATATTCTCCTTTGATAGCCTACTCTAGCCCAACTGGTAACTCTGTGAACAAAAGGCTGGGTTACCAAGCAACACCTTGGACCAATGCCCCGTATGGTTTTAAACGCGAGCGTCCAATTACCCCTGCAAGGCAACCGGTCACCGAGACCGCTCCCCAAAGCTTAGCTGAGCCTGCACCTGGTAACCGATAAGGGTATTACAAGTACGAGTACCGGTACTGTACGGTGTGAGACTCAGACACACAGCCGCTAAGGCGCCGATCGAGGGATATATTTGGACTGAGAGCTGCAGCAGGTGCAGCGGGACTCACTCCGAGTTGCTGCTTGAATGCAGTACTCGTACGGTACAGTACAACGCTTCGATTGAGGGAAACCTATTTACTGTATGCCGCCTTGATTTCCGGGGAAATTTAGTGTCATTTCCGGGGATCTAAATGATGGGCGCTCAGCTCCCCCCCACTTTGACCACTCCTATCATACTTTCGCCTCTACTGTAGTGATGCTAAGGGTCGCGTTTGGAGGTGATATTGGCATCCCGGCAGCACTAAGCTTTTTACTGGGCGGCCTCGTTGGAGGTGGCTGCTAGACTTGAGAATTCAGTGTTGCGCGATGAATAACCCTTTTGGTTCTTCAATCTGCTGATCCTCTACTCGGGTGGGAAGACGACCCATGCTGTACTGTATCACTTCGGCTGAGATTGTCAAACTGTTGGGGGCGGCGGCAGATTTGAGGGCAACAAATAATGCGATACCAGTATATTGTATTCAGCTACTTGCGAGTCCGAAATCACGAAAAACGATCGGCAACTGGCATCCTCAAGAGGATAGTGCTGGTAACATTACTTATTCAATTACAGTGTAAATAGGCAGCTATTTCGTCCCACTTGCCAGAAGCAACTATTCCTGGAGGGAAGAAGGGTTGAATCTGAGGATGGGCATTCTCGGCAGGGGTATTTTATTATACTAGTAAGGTAGGGTACAGCCGAACGAGACAAGTAAAGAAATGGGAAACAGGGGTTAGCGGTGGAAATCGATTGGCTCGGGCCACCAAACGCTCCAATTAGAACTCCAAAACCCTGTGTCTCATTTCCCGATATTTTTTTGATCACTGGATGCACAAGTCCTTGTACTAGTACTCGGGTATGTACTACGGTACTCAAGTAGTACGAGTACCCAATGCGTTCTACTGCAGACCATTCGCAATTCGCAATTCTCCGACATGCTCCTAGAGTGGCTATCCACCCCAACGGTGTTAGGGAGGTCCTTGTTTGCCTCACTTCCGTGGCGCGAGTACCCTCTACTGTCTGGGTTGCTGGCTTTAAAAGCAAGCCACGGCCCCCCTCCGGGTGCATTTCGTTTTCCTACACTTGCAAGTTTCCTTGGGCAAGGAGACTGACTCAAGAGATGTGGATGTGGAAACGACTGGCGCCTGGGCTGTTGCTTCTCGGCCTTGCTGAGGCGGTGATACGTCCGGGGCCATTTTTCGGATATCAAGATCGAGCTGATGCCGAGGTTGGTAGAGGATTGGAAAATGATCGTTTTGAAGTCTTGGCAACGCGGGCAGCGGGTGTGTTGGCTGAAACTGTTAAGGTGATTGGCTCTTCCCCTCAGATTCTCTTCATCGTCCACTCGAGTGGGTCTGATATCTGTTGCATCCGTGTTCTGGTAGCTCCCTCTTGACCACTTTGGAAACCATCCTGGAACATTCGAAAATAGGTATTGGGTGCTTGAAGAATTTTACCAGCCCGGGAATCCGGTTTTCAGTTTGTGCCCCTGATCATGTAGTGTTTGGTGATAGACTAACGGATATCAAGTATATGATGCTGGAGAGGGAAATGCGGAACCCAGTGTTCAGGATAGACTCGTCGACGGCGCTTCGTTCTTTCGGCAAATTGTCCAGGAGTTTAATGGGATTGGAATTGTTTGGGAGCATCGGTAACCGTTTTGGGATTCCGAACCGTTTGGCGAGTGAATTATGATAGCAATGGCTAATCGGCTAATCGTGCAGGTACTACGGAGCCTCATCACATGTTAACATCTCTCTGGCCACGCCTGTGGAGGAGTTCCGGTGGCTGAACACCGCCCAAGCCCTTGCGGATATCCCGGTAGCACAGTTTGCTAATTCCACCAATGGCTTTCACTGACTGATGACTAGGCATTTGCCAACAACTTCACTCTTCGCAGCTTTTCCAACATAGACTTGACACCTGCCTCTACACCATGGGTATTCATCGGTGGCAGCTATCCTGGTAGCCGCGCAGCGTTTGCTCGGCATAAGTATCCTGAGACAATATTCGCCTCGTTTTCCTCATCCGCTCCGGTCCAGGCGCAGATAGATATGTCGGCATATTTTGAACAGGTATATCGTGGGCTCAGAGGGCTCGGGTTCAAAAATTGCACCAACGATATTGTGGCAGCGATTAAATATATTGATGACCAGCTCTCTAGAGCGGACACCTCGGCGGCCATAAAGAAGCAATATTTGGGGAGGGGCGCGGAAAACAACTCTAATGAAGGCTTCGCAGATGCCCTGACATATATATATTACTCTTGGCAGAGCAATTTGACTGAAGGCAATCCAGGTACGGTTTAGTTCGGAGGATTCAAGATTTAATGATCAAGATTCAGTCTGACAGGTGGGGGTAGCGAATATGAGGTCGTTCTGCGATTGGGTTTCTACGAATCCCGAGACTGGAGAAGTCTCCGGGGAAGAAGGGTGGGCAAAGAGCAAAGGGGCCAAATTTGCTTCTGATCGCTGGGCTTCATGGGAACCGTTCGGGACTGTTGTTAGTTTCCTAATCCAGCATTGAAGCCATAGCTTGAATATTCACCGATGGCTTAGGTTAATCGCTTCGCACCGACCAGTTGTGCAGGGTATTATGGAAACAGTACGGTAGGGCCACCGAAATGCCGACTTGACGATCCATTTCCGGACCCGGCAGCCGTGTCTTGGACATATCAGTATTGTAGTGAATGGGGTAAAAGCTTGCACTTGGACAAGGAGGAAGTCTTTTCTGACAGAATAATCAGGGTACTTCCAATCGTCAAATCGTGGACTAAATCCAATTGTATCATCCTATAATAGCCCCAAGCACCAACAAGACATTTGTTTCCGGCAATTCCCACAAGGGCTTTCTAGCGGCGTGCTACCTCAGCACCCAGATATAGATAAAATTAATCGGGAATATGGTGGTTGGGACCTTCGACCTTCGAATGTATTTTTCTCAGGTATCTCTCAAATTCCTTGACTTGTTATTCGTGATTGACCGAGTGCCAGGAGGTGAATACGACCCGTGGCGGCCCGTATCGCTGTTATCTGAGGAGTCTTGGGCACCCAAAGGTGTTAAATTGACACAGGATATTCCAGAGGAGGGGGTCTCAACACCTAGGAGTGAGGTATTTGGATACCTTCTCAAGGGTGCGTCCCACTGCTTCGACCTCAGAACTTCGTGGCCGGATGGTGCGAATTCGAGAAAGATTTTTACAACAGCCCTGAGGAAATGGTTGGGGAACTTCAAGAAGAGGACGAACTGATTCGGGGGTTGCATTCGGGGGTGCGATATAACAAGGGTTAGATTAATGTACGGCGCTAGTGCTGTTGCTCCGGGGCCGCAATAATATTATAATAGCTACCGATATTCGAGTAGATATCCAGTCTTGTCAAAAATGTCAGTCCCAGTATGAGGTATTAATGTGATTCGCGTGTGGACGCTACGATGCGAGAACATTGCTTATATTTCTTGATGCAATTCAGCCCACTGCCGGGGCGCCAATCCGTTCAAAGGAAGGATCGCGGCGCCAGCCAAGTATAGATGCAGGTTTTGGCGGCCTACAAAGAAGGTGGGCGGGTCGGGGAGCTGGCTCTGTCAGTACCCTAATGATGGAAAAATTTCTACGCGTGCCTAAAATGGCGGGCTATGACACGGATATGTCTGCGGGGGGACACGATTGGATCCAAAGGGTGGAAGTGGCCCCGGTATGATAGATGCCGACTTTCTTTTTGAAACGGGTATCACCGTTTTCACGAGGCTGTGAGCTGAAGAAGTAATATAGTACAAGTAACGGTAAGCCTCCTCCTACACCATAACTTTGGGTGAAAGAGTGTGGGGCGGTATAATAGTCAATAGTTGCATTATATGTGATACAGCGGAAAGATCTAGAGAAAGCGGGCAGCTTATCACAGTTCCCCCCCCGTGTGTGTGTGTTGGTACTGCATTGAAAAAACTTTGCTGACATATGATACCGGTATTTTTCAGCATGAACTCGAGGTTGCTGACACCGAATCCCCACTCTGCATTGTTACTATTTTTTGCTGGAGGGGAGGTCAGAAGTACCCTGCAACAGGGGGGAAATCTTGTATTGGCGCTCCAGTGGGCACACATTATTTTGGTTAATCCCTGTTTTCGGGCACTTATGTTCCGAGACAGGCAACACTCTGTGCGCTCCGAGGACAACTACTCGAGCACGGTGCTCTCAAAAGCACACAATATTTATCCTTGCTGGATTGAGTGATGTTACACGACAGCCTCCCAAACCTTGAGGATAAACGAGACGCCGTTGCACTGGCGCTACTGTACTGCACAGTACTGTACTCCTACTCATACGGTAGCGGATTGACCGCATTCACTACACAACTGAGCCAAGGAAGCAGAAATCAATGGTGCTCTACTTGTATTTGTATGGCATAACTAATTGTGATAGCCTATTTGGAATTTCTTTTTTCATCTACTATTCTCTCCTGTTACCGCATTAGGGCCAACAACTATTCCGATCCACGTAATAATCTCACCAAGCTGCTGCTCCGAATCCCCACTTCAGAACTTTGGCTCCGCACTCGGGCGAAGAGATAAGTTGGCACAATATATAACAACGCCGGCCCTTCTCACCTTTCCCCCAGAAGCGACTCTCACTACCACAATCTCAATCATTCCCACTGTAGCTATAGATCACCACAACCTAACTTGTCGACCATGTCTACCGCTACTAGTGCTAAGCGCAAGGAGCCTAAGGGCAAAGACACCAAGAAGGCGGACGAGGCTGCGGCTGCTGCCGCCGAAGATGCATCAGCACCAAAGCCTAGGACCATCCTTCCAAAGAACAAACTAGCGGGTGCGGCGGCTGCCCACCTTCCCCACGGTGCAACTAAATCTGTCACCGCTACTCAGAGCTTTTACGATGCTGTAGAGCATTGCAAGAGCAAGGTAGCCAAAATAGCCAAGGAATGCCGAAGCGCGAACAGGAAGTATAGGGATTTCCATTTTGACCTGCGAAATGATGGACGATACTGCCTCGATGGACTTACGGAGGCGCTAGAGAGCGAGCTACAGCCTGCCGGGGTAGCTAGAGTTGAGGTTTGTTGATTTTTTCCTTATCTTACACTTCACGAACGATAAGCTGTGGCTTGCGGGGCGTATTACTCATGGATTGCGGGGTAGGAAATCTTCGAGAAACCAAAGTTTTTTAAGGACGGCGTCAGTGCTGGTAGGTTTGCCTAGGCTGCCGCAACGGTGCTACAAATAAGTTATCAATGCTAATTATCAAAATAATAATAATAGGCGATATCCAACAGGGGGCTGTAAGTGCTGCGTGGCGAAAACCTACAGACTGTGAATTCAACTAATTTGTGTGGTCAGACGGGTGATTGCTGGTTCCTAGCGGCGGTGACAACAATCACAAATGTGTCCGGCCTTGTTGAGAAGGTCTGTGTTGCCAGGGATGAACGTATGATCCCTACTTAACGCACGCTTGTTATTGTAACCGAGCGACAGACAGACCTCGATGCTAACTTACCACTATGTTGCAGAGGTTGGCGTTTATGGGTTTATATTTTCGCGCGGTGTGTGGACCCTAACTGGAATCCGTGTGATTACTTTTTTCATCAACTTACTAATTAACTAATGGTGGTTGACTAGATGGTGAGTGGATGTCGACCATCGTCGATGATCAACTGTACCTCAATACCCGGGAGTACCACGACGCCGACTGGTACGTAAAGGCACAGTTTAGTGGAAAGGAAAAGGAGTATAATCAGACTTTTGCCAAGGGGTCTGAGGCGTTGAAATTTGCCAAGTGCGAGGATAAGAACGAGACTTGGTTGCCATTGCTGGAGAAGGCCTACGCTAAGGCTCATGGTGATTACGGTGCGATTGAGGGGGGTTGGACCGGGTGAGCTCTTACTCCTTTCCTGTGATTGGTATGACGATAACGGGCGACAATTGACTGATACAAAGAGTAGTGAGGCAGTTGAAGATTTGACCGGCGGTGTCACAAGTGAGGTTTACACTTGTGATGTCCTGGATAAGGGCAGGTTCTGGAATGAAGAACTCGTTCTTTCAAACAAGGATTTCTTGTTTGCAGCTGGCTTATTGGGAAATGTGGCGGAGGAGCGATCCGGAATCATTTCCGGACATGCTTATTCGGTTCTTAAGGCGAGGGAGGTGAAGGGAAAGCGATTCGTCTTGATCAGGTATGACCTTCTATACTCGATGATATCGATCGGATCTTGATTTTTATAGAAACCCATGGGGACGCACCGAGTGGAACGGACCATGGAGTGATGGTTCAAAAGAGTGGACATCTGAATGGATGACACTCTTGGAGCATCGTTTCGGAGACGACGGTGCCTTCTGGATGTCATGTAAGCTGGAGCCTACCTCATTGCGTTTTCGCTCTTAGCTAACAACAGCAGACGATGACTTCCTGCACAAATTCAGTCAAATTGATCGTACCCGCCTTTTCGACCCCAGCTGGACAGTCACGAGCCGCTGGATCCAGGTGCCGGTTCCGTGGGGAATGGAATACAGTCCAACGCGATTCGAAGTCAACGTCACCACCAAGAGTCCTGTAGTTATCGTCCTCTCCCAGCTCGATGACCGCTACTTCCGTGGTCTCGAAGGACAATACTCTTTCAACCTCCACTTTCGTGTTCAGAAGGAAGGCGAGACAGAGTACATCACCCGCTCACGATCAAATGTTGGCATGTCCCGAAGCGTAAACGCAGAACTCGAGCTAGAGCCAGGAAAGTACATCGTCATCTTCAAGATCACTGGCGAGAAGGACCGCGATGCACCTACTAAAGACAAGGTGGTCAAGAAAACGAAGAAGTATAGTAGGAAGAAGTTTTTGCAAATCGGAATGAGCTGCGATCTCGCTTTCGCCAAGGCTACAACAGAGCCCGAGGATGAGGAGGTCATCATTGAGATGGCTGCGCGGGCAAGGAAGAAGGAAAAGGAACTGGCTAAAAAGGCCAAAGCTAGCGGAGCCGTCCCGGCCGAGCAGGAGGGTGCCGGCTCAGGTTGGGGAGCGGGTGTTGGGGCGGCGTCGCAGCGGGAGCAACCCGGAAAACGATCGGGACACAGCAAACCTTCCACTACCCCGGGGGGCGGGATCAAGGGTATGCGGTCCTCCAAGTCTGGCATGAGGGCCAGCTTCCGCGAAGGCGAGACAGCAGACGAAGCGGCGGAGGAGGCGGAGGAGAAAGAAGGCGAGGAAGAGGAGGAAGGCGAGGGAGAGGAGGGAGAGGAGGGAGAAGAAGTGGAGGAGAGCGACTCTGACGACGAAGACTACGACGAAGAGAATTACTGGGATGCCGTCGCATGCGTAGGCCTACGCATTTATGCTCAGGATAAAGAGCTGACGGTTGAAGTTGCTCATGCTGCTGAGGAAGACTCTGATGCGCTTGATCAGGATGATCCGGCGAAGGATGCTGCTGGCGAAGCAGGGGATGATGATGATGACGATGACGATGACGATGACGATGAGGATGGCGATGACGATGATAAAGAGTAGATACATTTCCCTTTGCTTGGAAATTAAATGGACCATTCTGTTGGTTCCAAGCATTAAGGGTCCTGCTGGATTTGGGAGGGGCGGGGGGGGGGGTTCTGCTCCATTCTCTTTTGGTTCGTTTCGGCTTTGGGTTACGATAGTCAACGCTTATGAGGAATTGCTGTGGTGACATGTGAGATTTATTTAACTATCATAGTTTTTTTTGCAAAGTCGATATCATAGTAGAAAAAACCTATTCCTTCACCGTAGTAGCGGCGAAACGGGGCGGGCGAACAGGGGTACCGGTATTTTGTGAGCAAAAAAGGAAAGGGCCAAGGTTAGGGCTACAAAGATTACTACTCGCGTGCCGGTAGTATGATGATTGATACCAGTTCGTCGCGCGACTATGATACGGTAAAGACTGTAATACTCGCTGCACTCGGGTAGAGTAGGTAGCATACCGGTACCAGCATCCCACAGGCTTTCACTGTGATCATAATCGGCTTAGCATAATATGATACTTTAAAGTCACAAGCAGTATCATACTTGTATGTTGAAATAGACAAAAGAGTGCCAAGGGAACAGCGTGATTCAGCCCTTACAAGTAATATCGCCTTGGCCAAAGTCGGGAGGTGAAATTTGTATATAACGTACGGCACCGCCAAGCGGGACGGCGCACGGATGCGGGACGGCCAACTACTTCAATGTCAACATATGTTCTTATCGTGTAGGTCGCCCAATATTAATGTCAGAGACTTGAAAAGCATACTGAATGAAAGCGCTGAAGGAGGAGAATCCAAATGTGGTGTCAATGGGAGGGTGGTGCCTATTGCTGTTCCATGGGACATCCATCAGTGCTGAAAGCAAGTGTATTAGAGAACAGGCAGGGGAAAGTGGGGTAAATGCATATGA